AGACGCGCGCAAAAGAAATGACCGCGAATTTTCGTCCTCGGCGTTGGTGATTAGTGACGCGCATTTACGCACGCGTCGCGCCCTACGATTGCGCGGGGCGATGCATTTTTCGACGCCTCCTTCGCTTCGCGCACACACGCACGTTATCTCGTGGGAACTTACGCACTTGGCGAGGTTTTGCGCGCGCGCGGTAGGCGGTGCTGTCTAGTATCTTATCTCTCAGAAGTGCGTGACCCTCTCGAGAGATTATCGTAAATTATTTGTCGGTTGCGAGAATAACTTATTGCTCGCCTACCGTATACTCGTGTTTTACAACGCTTTATAATATCCTAAGCCTTATAATATCTTAATCAAACATCGCGCGAGCCAGCCATTGTGTTAGAGAGTTTGTACCGAGGATTATGTTTCTCGGCTGTATGTGCTTCGCTCGAAACAAACTGCGCGTGTGGTATACATGCGCGTATAGCGAAAGGAAGAAAAAGCAAATCGGCGCATCGAAAGAGGAGTCGCAAGGTTACGCGTACGCATATGTATGAAAGAGAGAAAAAGAGGGGACACCTCATAAACACAATTATCCGCAGAAATGCTGGACGCGCGCGCCGCGTTACTTTATCCGTCTCATGTAAATGAGTCCCACTCTCTCTCTCTTTCTTGGTTGCATTCGCTCGTTCGCAGTTAATAAGAGCGAAGAAAATCGCGCATAATCCCTGAGCGCGTGAGGCCCAGGCCAAATCGATTTTACGGACGCCGCGGGAATTATCGCGTCAATTATTAATGCACGCGCGCGTACCATTGCCAGAGAGCCTACATATCTCGGATTTTACGCGTTTCGCGTGCTCGCGCAGCCAACAATATATGTGTATATACGGACCACCGATCGCCACATGCGTGTGCGCTCACCTTCCTCTTGTTCTTTTCTTTTTTCTCTTTATCACCTTTTCTTCCCTACTGAGCCAAAGCATTCAGAAGACGGAGAAGCAAAAAAAATTATAAAGTGAAGAGTTGTTCTCTCTTTTCTGGTATGGCTTGCAGTATAATTAAAATACAGCTAAGCCTCCAACGGTGCACGAGCGCTACCCTCTCCTGCAGTGCACGTGTGTGCTCCCTGCCTTTCTTTTCACCGAGAAGTTGTCGTTTTTCGTTTCGTTTTTGCGCTCCGTTATGAATATCCCTTTTTCTCTTCGCTCGTAGCCTTCTCGTTTCGTTCTTTCCTTCTTCTTTTTTATAATAATTATTATCGCGATACTTGAATTGCATACTTAGATGTTTTTTCAACTTGCGACGGCCAATGTAGTTCTGATGAATAATCTTATAGCTTGTTTGTAACAGTTATGAATTCAACTTTGTTTATCTTACTGTAGGTACATTTTTGCGTACACGTTTCTCAACTTGCAAGAAAAATCTTACACAAAAATGAAAACTAATAAACGTCAAATTCTGAATAATCCGCTAATAAATTAGACGCTCCGCGTGTAACTTCTTAATGCTACATCTTACGACACCCATCCTTTGTCTGTAATTTCCTTGATAACGTAAAAGTAAAGAAAAAAACAAACTAGCCGTATACAGATGCCCTCTTAAGATCACATACTCGAGTTAATATTTGCGACTGGCATAACTTTCGAATTATTAATGTTCATGTAATGAGATCGCTATCGTCGTCGTGCTTTGCAATATTCAACGATTCATCGCTTCGAATGAAAAAAAGTTGAAGCGGTCTTTTTTCATATGGAATTTGAAGTTGACTGCGGCCAGTCAGTATCTTAAAAATTCTTTAGATTTTTTTCCGCTACAAGCGTATGAAAAATATTATCGGCTTTACGAGCCGTACGAATCACTTCTATATGCTACTGTCAAAAGGCATTTTCACGCCAGAGTCAAGGTGCGTTTTGATGAATTCAACACCGCGTTTGATGAACTTTTTTTGATTTGTTGTCAACTGGCGCAAAGCGACGGACGATACTTTTGTCAAGCGTGTACATACAATCTGTCGACGGATTGCAAATTACTGACCGCACGAGTTCTCGGCGGGGCGTGCAGTTCTCTCTCTCTCTCTCTCTCTCTCTCTCTCTTTCTCTCTCTTGCGCGCGCGCCATCCTCGTCGTCGGCAAATAATTAATATTCATTACGTATTAACGAAGCCATCGCATAAATTACGAGGAGACAGAGCGCGAGAGCAAAAGGGGGCGCGTACATAGCGAGTCTGTCTCGGGACGCGCGCGAATATACTCGGGTTGGTAATGCGAGAAGTACAATGCCGAGCTTCGCACACTTGCCGTGAGATGTAGCGACCTGTACGTCCTTCACTTTTATCAGCTTGGACATTATTTTAACCATGTTGCACATTTATCTTTAAGCGTTATTCTTTTAAAGATAACGAATGATTAATAACTGGTCATTCAATTTTCCGTTTGACGTCCGTTAGTATCTAATACGGTACTTCTCTATCTTTATTATTGTAAGTCTACGTTGTTGAGGATATCACAATGAGATATACGCACAGTTTTCATTACGAGTTTTTTAATACATTGAAAACTGTATAATTAATCGAATACATCTTTTGCATGCACTATTATCGTTGTACCTTAAACCAAACTAATCAACAATCCTTTCAAGTCTACAGGCAAACGGAAGGTATATCAGGTATAAAATAAACGGAATTCCAAAGACCAGTACAGTGAATACTTTATGCTATATAACTATGCAAAGCTCATAATTGCATTTCCCTCAGTCCCAATGGTAGAATTTAATATCGACGAAAAGCTATCAATGCAGCTGCTCCACGGCCGCTATACAAACCGTAATAAAAAGTTTGAAGTAGCCTCGCAGCATATGCGCCAACTCCATCGGAAGAAGCATCTTCTCTCTACGTGCTATCATTCTCTCTCTTTTCTCGAAGCCGACGGGACACGACTATTTCATTTTTGATGCCATAAAGAGCCGTTTTATCGCTGCGTTTAAGGGTTATTGTACAATAAAAGTGGCATTATTATCAGTTAGACTCGTGGGGGTGAGTGAGAGTCGGCGGGCGCGAAGAAGCTGCGAGAGAACATGGAAAAGGAGGCCGAGGTCGTGAGAGGCACGACTCTGCCAGTGGACTTTATGACTCGTAAAAGCTCGGGGTACCTTCAGCTTCGCGCCGTGGAGCACGTGGCGCTCGATCTTACTACTGTCTTAGCTGCCAATCTATCGTTCGTCAACTTCATCGTCATTATAATACAAATAATAATATAAAAAATAATAAAATAAAGGGATTATTCTTAAAAACTAAACATTTGATAGACATTTTATTTTTTATATTGCTTTGTATACAATATTTTTATCTCGGAAAAGTGATAATATTAAAACATACATTTTAAAACTTTGCTCTGAAGAGCGTCATTTACTTGGAAAAACTAAAAATTGAAGTCTAAGTAACTATAGTCAGCTACTTTTTATTACAACCTTGGGAACGATTAGAGTTATTTTATAATTTCATATTTATAAAAAGACCTTGCATTTTCGCTACTGTGATTGTCAAGTAAAAATAAAGATCTAATTACATATACTTTATTTATCTTTAGCATTATTATTTCTAGATATAACGTTGTAATTCTACACGTAATATTATTTATCGACGTATACTAAGTCCAGTTATAAATCGGTTTGGGTTTAATCAAGTTTCTATGTTTCCTCCCTGAACATAGCTATTTCGGTTTTCATAAATTAATATAATTTTTATTTATTCCAGAAATTCCAATTCCGATAATATCTATAATAAATTAACAAAACGTTTCAAATGTGAGTAGAAAAAAGTTATTTATACACACAGATGATGATTTGGATACGATAACAAATTTTCACATGTATATATATCCTCATTTCACACTGCAAATTGGACTCTGACAAAAAAGTGTTACATAAGCTTTCATCATGATTTTTCCCGTAGAATCGATTGATGTATTCAGTTTTCCAAAATTAGGAATTTTCCAGTAATTTGTTCAAATAATTTTTTATAAACGATTGCAAATGGCAGAAGAAAAAACGTATATTTTATTTTTTGATTATGCAAAGGATGGCCTAGTTACTTTGTTGCTATCTTATCCAGATTTTGCATGAACCTTAATGGGTTAAACAACCGTTATTCCAACTTATTTAAAAGAAAACATTACGTTTGATGAAAAAAATTGTAAGTACAGAGCTAATTTATTAAAACTAAAATGGTGTCTGAGATATTCACTGCGAAAACAGGACAAGTGTATATCTTTATGAGTCTCTTAGTTTATGAGTTGTTGCTTTTAACTGTTAAATTTAAGGAAAAGAGTAGATTATATATGACAAATATTCAGTATCTCTAGTTATTGGTTTTGCATACAATAAATCCAAGGTTAGTGCAAACAAATTCAAGTATACTAAGTATTACAATAAACTTAGCATAGGCATAATTTTTTTTCGTTCTCAACATTTTTAGTTCATAACTATGCCAATAAAGTAAGATCATAACAGCATACATTGGATCAAAAGAGCTTTTATTACTGAAATTTTTAATTTAAAAAACAAATTTCGTGAATATTTGCCACCATTTTTAAAAGAACTATCATATCTATAGAGAAATATGAACAAATTGTTAATTTTGTATTTTTATTAGTTCTAGATAATTTTTTTTAAATTACGGTTACCTTTTCAGTTTCAGGGACTCTATAGTTTTAATATTCAAGTGATTAACGTTAATTCAAATTTAATAAATTACTACTTCGTGAAGAAAAATAATTATTATTTTAATGCTCATAATACATTTATTTTTGTAGTTTAAATAGTAAGTATTGATGTAGCTTCTAATTTTGAATATATTTTGTATTACAATTCTGGAACTTGTTTGTTCAATAAACAATGATAACAAATATGTCGGCATCGTTATTACTCAAGCGATAAAGTAAATTAAGTATTATTCTTAATTACTTGCACTTCAAAAAAACAGAATATAAAATACAGTCGTTCATACCTTTGTACAATAACAACTTAACCAACGTTTGAAAAAGGTTTGAATAGTTTTAAAAAAATTGATTAATTATATCAGCTTTTGAAGTTAAATATATTATATGCTATAGATGTATATGTTTGTGTGTGTGCGTGTATATGTGTGTAATATTGAAATGTTTATATGACAAATAGTTCTAAAACTAATTGCTTTGATATAATACACTCGTATATTTCTTGTCATGTACGAAAAGGTCTTATTTATGAAAATAACGATTATCGGACCGAACTGAAAGCGTGGATTATTAGCCAACATCGAGAAAAATGCTTTAGGTACGCGACGTGAACTAGTACATTACGATACATGTGTGGAAAGTACGTACTTTCCGCACGTTCGGCCAAAAACGTGCGGTCAAAAAATATTTTTCATTTAAAAAACCAATAATAAGCAATACATTGCGACTTTTAGGTTAGAGATCTGAAAAATAAATTCATCTAGAATTACTTCGTAAACCACCATTGCGAATAGAAATATTTCTGTTAAATAAAACACCTTGAAGTGTACCTTTTTTAAAAGATTTGAAGAAGGTATTAAATTATAGTGCTTATAAAATTGTTTTCTTTATTTAAGATTATTTTTTAAATTGAAAGAAAAGGGCCATGAAGATTTTGGTTGCTGCATTAGTCACTTTTAGCGTATTTATTTCTGCAATACAATGTGATTCGAATGAGGTAATATATTTCATTATTAAATTATATAACATTGTGTTTTTTACATGTTTTCATAGCATGCAAAATACACATATTTCTGTGGTTGAAAATATAATAATTTAAAACAACTTTCCCTGATAAAGAGAGATAGTTGACATGTTTTATTTATTTAAAAAAGTTCTATTTTTGTAATACTTTGATGATAAAACTTAATAATAATACAGGACAGCTCACGTTCGTCGAGCGAAAGTCAAAAATCTTCAACTAATCTTGTAAGTTACATTTCATTGAAAAAATGAATAAATCTCCAATGTAGAACGTTGTTCATTAATCAAAATAAAAATACAGAACGAATGAATGTTATTATAGGTCAATATAACATCTGCTCAACTTCATTATTTAAACACAGATTATGTTAACAAGAAAACTTACAAGGCAGGTTTAGAAAGAAAAAACGATACATATACAGAATTGCCATTACAATGGGATATTATAAAAGATTTTCCTGAAGATACAGTGGTAACTAGAAATGCATGTACATGTACCGAATATTATTCAAGTTATAATATAAAGTTTATTTCAGTTGATAACGAAATTCGTTAAATCTAAATCTGAAAATGGGCCATGGGAGAATGTACAAACATATGTATCGAAAATTTGTAATTTAAAGGACAAATATCACGATTATTTACCACCGTTTCTCATTGAATTGACAAAAGACGGAAAATGTATACAAAAGGTTTGTATATAACACGTATTTTTTTGTTTTTATGATTTATATTACTAAACCGTGGTATTTTTCAGGGAAAACATCATTTTAATGATGCGGGACAGTTTCAGTTTGATAGATTGTTTCCAGCAAGTTTTCTGGAAGGATGGTATTTTAATACGTACAATCAAATACGTTCTTTTAATCCTGAAGCTTTGATAAAAGATATTGAAATTAAATCTAAGTCCGTAAACGCTAAGTAACATAGGCTTTTTTAATCAATATACCTATGTACTGACTTGATAATGAAGGTTATTATTTAAAATTTTAAGTAAATTAAACTTATTGCAAATTTAGTTTCAATAAAATTTAATGACATTCAAATAGTTTTTTTTTTAAATTGTTATAAACATGTTTCATATCGCAAAAATGAAGAGACGAAAGGTCATAACGATCGAGTTATTTTTTAATAACATAACAATTTTGTTATTGATAAAGTTTACTTGAGTTACAGTGTTCTACCTAAGAAATATGAAGTCTCCTTATTTACAGTAGTCATATCTGTATAGTGGCAGTTGCCTAAGAGGAAGTGGCTCTGGTGTCCTCATTGGCGGGAGGCTTACTTGAGATTCGGATGGCCGATATGCCGTTGATAAGGTTTGCGGGTCTCTATAGCAAACTTCCTTCCAGATCATACCGGAAGTTCATTGTAAATCTCGAGCTGCTGCGCGAGAGATTCCGCGCTCAAATATTTAGATTAGCCCGTGATCTTCTCACGCTGTTTACGTACGCGCGACGCACAAAGAGAGGAAAGGTGAGAGTGCTGCTAACGAGATCAGACATCTGGGCTGATATAAGCACGCCTACGGAAATTGATCGCCGCTAGCTGCTTTCTAGCTCAAATCTAAATAACAGATGTCTTATCTTAGCAAGCTGTATAAACAGTCTCATAACTGCTGTTTAATAGAGAATAGAAAAGTCCTTTCAAGTAATTCAATTTATGAAAATATGAAGTTTTAGATTGAAAGAAAGTAGGGATGAAAAAGACTAAGAAATGACACGCACTATGCACATGTTATAAATATAATTTGGCCAAAGGCGGAAAATTATACGATTGCATTCGTTTATAATAAAACATGTGCTGATAAGTTCAAGATGGAATATTTATGATACTAGAACCATAATGCCAGATAAATAATCAGCATCATCTCCTTTAATATTTCAAGTATATTAGCGTAAATAACCTGAGCCAAGGCAATCACAGATGGGAAGTTACCCACGAAGCGGAAACCGGAAGCGAAGAAATCTCGTTGAGCAGGGAAACGTTTTTTCCGTTTTTTTTTTCTGCACCCGAGCTCGTCTCGTGGCAGTCTCGTCGATTACGTATATATGCCGTAGGATACGTAACGTTGCCATGTTGGGGAATAGGCGAGAGCGAGAGGATATTGAGAGCGAGTAGGCGGCGGGCGGCGGGCGTCGCGCTGGACATAATTTCCGCCCGACGAGATCGGAATTGCTAATGACGTCACTACCGCCTTCGTATCACTCTCGGGGCCATTCAGCGCACGCCACCGCCGCCACTCTGCAGCAGCCGACTCGATGGAAAAAATGCTCGGCCTGTCGTCCCCCTCTCATCGACCTGGAAAATTTGTTTTAATTAAAATGTATCGTTCGACGCTTTTTCTTCGTTTAACGTCGTTTTATCTTGTCTTTCTTTAAATTCGTATTTTTCGGACGTGCTTGCTCTGCAATGCACCGACGTCGATGCGACGCTTGGAGCTGCGCAACTTTAGTAGCAAATCCAGTATCAAAATAACATAAGGCTGTCGAAACCGTGGCTCGACAATCGCATTTGGCGCATTTGTGAATTTCGTAATGTCGGGCAGAGGTCAAATTCCACAGCAGCGTTATTATTGCCGCGCGCTCATTGTTAGCTCGCGCAAGTGGGTCCTTCGCTTCTTTTTCGCAGCGTGCAGAGGCGCGCGCGCGCGCGCGTGGAATTCCTTGCTGAATTTCAATTGGAACGACAGTGGACTCTGCACCTCTGATCCCGCCCTCGGCGCGCCGTACATACTCTCTGCCGGCGCGCGCCACGATGAGGTTTTTCATTAGCCGCGCGACTCTCTAAAACGCATTCCCGGTCGGACGGCTCGCGGACATTTTTAATTATCGTGGCCGGGCTGCTGCGGCGACTACGCGCTCGTGTCCCGGCGCATCAGCTGCCAAATATTTCCGGGCCCGTCATCGAATCTCCCTGTGGCTCGTCAATGCTCTGCGCTATGTTGTTGCGATGCGTGATTCTGGGCTGTGATATGCGTTTAAATAGAAATCAATTGTATTTGAGAACGAAAAGAAAACCTATCTGCGAAGGGGACTATCACGCGTATATTGCAGATTCCTAAAATTTGCCATTGACAAGACAATGTATCGCATCGAAAAGTTGATCCATCGGAATAATAAATTGAGTTGCCGTGAGGTTTCCGGCAATATTTAGCTTAAGCAACTGATTAAAAGCGCAGGAGGGTCCGTCAGTCGAGATGACGCGTATCATTTCAACTTCTAGCCGACGTGCGCGCGTTTAGCCACTTTGCACTGGAGAGTGAGCGAGAGAGCAGGAATTGCGAAAGCGTTTTAGCGAGTGAACTCTCGTGGGAAAGCCCTTTCGCATATAGCGTGCTAGCACTTTGGCGGTATTGTGAATATATGGCTGTATACAGCGGACGCTTCGATTGCTGACAAGCCGCCGCGATGTCTTCGCCGGCAGGCAGCGAGTGCTCGGTGTACATGCCATTTTTCCAGTCGCGCAGCGATCGAGTGTTCGACTTTCAAGGGCGACCTCTTGCCGACAACTGACAACCGAGAAGCACACTCCTGCACGGTTTTTCACGCCTATCGGTTTTGCTGGTAAAATTCGACGCCTGCATAAATTTCTCTGGTATATTGGTAAGGTTCGCAAGGTTTTCAATTGGCGACTGTCGACATCGCTCCTCTAAATTCATTGATTGTTTATCGGCTCTATTTACAGTGCACGCGTCTAGAAGCAGCTCTGGAAAACTCGGGTAGATGAAAATGCTTGTGAAGCAATGAAATATCCATCCTCTAAAAAGCAAGATCTTGCGCTTGGCCTGAAACTCGAGCTAAAAGTTTAGACCACTCGGGGAGCTGTTCAAACATAAGCGAGCTGCGGGAGCTGTACTCGTACTTTTTGGGCTTGCTCGAGAGAAAATACTTAAGGAGCGATAAAGAGCTCGCGCGAGGTGGCGAGCAAAGCACAAACATCCTAAATTTCGCAGTTGCAAGTAGTCGAGAGCGCGGCCTCTAGTCGAGGAGAAAAGGCAACGTCCTAATGGCTCGCTTGCTCCGCGCTGCCGCGGAGGAGGAGTACGAGGAGCTGGGTTTGCACTCAGACGATGCGGTTTCGTGGTAGCTGGACTTTTCGGGTGGGGCGTCACGCCGAGTGAAGACGGACGTCGCGACGCTGCCCATAAATCCCGGGTTTACCCTCCGACACACACATACACACACGCGTACACACAGCGTAGCAGAAGAGTCCGCAGCAGCAGGCTGCGCGTACCGTTGCAACGCACTAACTGCCGCCGCCTGGCTAACTTTCAGTCCCGGCGACAAGTTTGATTACAACCCTACAAAGCTACTGTCTTTTCATGGTCTACCTGCGTCATGGAGTCTTACCTGCGCTTCGGATTTTGGATGATTGATTGATTCTTCTGATTGATGCATTTTATCTTCTCTTAACTAGTAAGCTATATCTAGGAATAGAAACACGACTATAAATTCTTGCCGACAACTTCTTCGGTCGGTAGTATTTGATTTGAAAGCTAAATCGTCGAGTTTACGTGCCTGGTCGAGTAGCCACTTGAAAGCTACAAAAAATATACGTTACTAGTTTTAGCAATATAGTTTGCATAATCAATTGGGTAATATCGCAGGCGTCGAATTCAATCGATCGTCGTCAATCGAGCTAATCCTTAAGGCTGAACCTTTAGCCGTACAGCGAGTCTCATCTCTCCTCCTTGCCGCCCCTAGAGCTGACGTATATACGCCGGGGATGCGGAGAAAATGAGCTTTCCTCGCGGCGCGTTATCATCGGTAGAAGGAGGGGGAGGAGAACTTAATGGGCCGAGAGGTTCCCGCGTATTTCAGGCCCTCACCTTTGCGCGCTACTGGCGAAGATGGTGGCGTCGGCGGGCGGCGCGCCTTATCCGAAGGTATACGCCCGAGTATCCGGACTTATGATGGAAACAATTTAGGGGCTTTAGTGGCACACGTGCGCACCACACAGTGTTCGCCGTGCCGCTGCGCCGCGCGAGAAAAGGTGGAAGCAGAAGCAGCAGCAGAGGAGAGCGAGCGACTAAGCCGCAATAAGTCGAGGGATGAGCGCGAGATGTGGCCGAGTCGTCGCTCGCATACTGATACCAGAGAGAGAGAGAGAGAGAACGCTTCTTATCCCGGGGCGGCCTCCTCTCTACCCGCCTCCACGCCATATTGGTGAGCTACTGAGAATTGTGGCTCTGAGGATATTTTTTGCGCTAGCACCAGATAAAACATTATTCTTTACCTAGGATTTGACCGAATTTTCCTTTCGTAATTCATACCAGAGCGCGTATGCATCCTAAAAGTTAAGTGCTTTGGACAGCTTTCTTCCTGAAGTGGATTTACTGGATTATTAATGTAATCAGCGCTGTGATTCAAAATGTAAAGGAAGCATCGGATTAAAAGTAAAAGAGACAAGCCTGCTCGTATAGTTCGCAGATGCTACATATATTGCGAGTGTGCAGCAGACGAGCGAGGCAGGCGGGAGAAAGATATAAAATAGGCAAGCGAACTGTTTCTAAAAGCAACATTTCAAATCATCAAGAATGAAAGAGAATTTTAAGCTCGCAAGGTAGGGGAGGTTTGCTGCGTGCGACGAAATGACACCGTGGGGCACGTGTGCGTTCGTCGGCAAAGCGAAACGCAGCAGCCGAAGCAAGCTCTCGGGTGCTTGCAGCGGCAGCAGCAGCAGCAGCAGCAGCAATGGCTATGGTAGCGAAACGAGAGCTCATGGCGAGAGAAGGACTGATTACGTATTTACTAGGAGCGCTTGGCGAGCGGTAGAACGGAAGAGAAAATTCGCTTGCAGTAGTAGCGACGCGCCAGCGCGACGACTGTGCGACTGCTTGAATTATGCATGGACACGGCTTGCCTACAACGTGTATTGTTTGCCGTATGTACACCGCGGTGCGCCAAGAGTGAGAGAGACAGAGAGAGAAAGCCTGATTTTCGAGAGAGCGAGAGAGAGAGAGAGAGAGAGAGACGGAGCCAGAGATCCCACGGTTTTGTGTTTGTGCGCTCAGAGATCCCAACTCTCGCGCTCTGTATACGCCGACGCTAAAATACATGCTCCATAAGCAATGACGAGGGTATCGCGCGAGCGCGCAAGCCCGCGGTTTTCGGGAATTTTTTATGCGCTTCGCGAGTTGCGAGCGTTTAAATTTTCAGAGACAAGCTTTTGGCAAGAAACATGCGCGCATCTCCTTGCGTTATGAATATTTAGCAATAACTCGCGAAAGTATCGACAAAATGTTCAGTGAACGACGATTTCGGAAAAATACTGATTAAGTAGAATAATCAAATTTAGTCAGACAGCATTATAAGCACAATGAGATTTTGGCAAGAGCGGAAAAGATTTGAATGATGAACGGTTAGAAAAAGATAATAAATGCAGACGAAGAATTTTTTGATGTAAGGGATGAGGAGGAGAAAAAATAATAATATAGGGGTGCAGAGTGAAGAAACGCAAAGTATGCGAGCAAGCGAAACAAGCAGCTCGCGGTGCCTGCGGGAAAGAGAGAGAAAAGGCGAGTCGCTGACTGCAGGGATGCCACCCTAATTACTTCTGGGCTCGATAAAAAAAGAGAGCAAAAGAGAGAGAGAGAGAGAGAGAGAGAGAGAGAGAGAGAGAGAGAAACGAATTAAAGAAAAGAATGAGGTGGGACGGGGTGAGCTGCTCGTGACAGCTAGCTAATCGGGGTGTTTAAGAGTCTA